AAATTAGAAGAACCAAATGAAATAAATGAAGACCAAAAAGCAAACTGTTGGGTAAAACCAGCTGTTGTTAAAATATATCAATCTCACCTGTAAGCGCATCTCATACTCATTGAACACCCCTATACGACGCAAGTATCCAATGATACGGAGGCATTCCGGCAACTGCACCAATAAATTGTAAACAGTTAGGTCTTAAGCTTCATAAATTTATGGAGAACTTCCATTCCAGTGTGCTCCAACAGCATAACTGTTACAAAATCAAATAATCTATGCCAGAAATCACCTGAATGTTTGACCTAAGTCTTTGGAGAAGCTGAGAAAGAAGAGATTGGGTGGTCTGCCGAACTTCTGCAGCAAGGGCTTGAATAACTGGTAACCTTCAGGGGGAGACGAAAAAGAAACAAAAGTACCTTCGTAAGTTTTCATCGAATTCAATTATATCAGTTCCTACACAAAAAAAAGAAACGACCCAGGACTCACTTGGGGTGCATTGCTGAAAGCTTGGAAACAAATGCTTCTAAATCAAGAGCTTCATCATAGTTTCCATTCCTCACACATCTGCAAAATTAAGAGACCACTCAAGTCTAGCACCACAAAAGCACGGAAGCTAAAAGATATGAGTTCATTCACTAATATGAAATATTAATAATGTTCTGAGTCTCCCTTTTCGTGTGAATCATCCTATATGATATATGTTAGGTCTCTAACTTAGATCTCACCTTGCTAGCTTATGGTGATCCACTGTATTTTGCTATAGGAGGTAAGGTCTATGTCCCCATCCTATGTATTTCTACGTTATTATTAAAAAAATAAAAAATAAACTTGACTACTTGCATGGCTGTGCTATGCAAGACAATTCAGGCTGAATCTCCAGATATGACAGCAATGATGGCTCTAAGAACAACACAACATTGTTCATCACCCAACATATTTGAAAACTTGGATCATTTTATATGCTAAACCCCACACCCCAATCCCTCTACCTAGAACAAAACACTATACCTCTTCCCACTTTACTCTCTTTGGTGACTCGAACCACTAACCTTATGGCTCATGGTTTGAGGGAAAAGGTCTTTTCCAACTAGACTAAGATCCCTTGTCTAAAAAAGAAAAGTTAGATATTATAACTCAATCACAATGTCAGCACCAAAATCAATTCTCTCACTAATTTACTAGTCAAATACATAAACTACACTTTGGAAGGTAACATAGATCATTAGCAAAAACCACTGACATTTCATCCTTTCAAAATCATGGATGCAGTTTCAATTCTAACAAGTGATCCTTACAGCATTGACGAAAACATACGTGTCCATTAGCTGAGGAATTTCAAGCAAGTCAAGCAGAGTACTATGATTTGCAAGCAATGTTTGATTCATCTTCCTTTTCTCCAAGATATGTTCTGCAGAGGTGCTGAACTCACTGCAACCTGAAGTTAGCTTAGGTATCTCATTGATCTGCAAACCAAGAAACACAACCATAAGTTTTGATGCCCTTTTCTACCTAAAAATTTTTATATGAGAAATTATGATTGCAGTTCCCATTTGCACAGTTACACTGAGAAATAAAGGAAGCAAGAGCAGAAAACAAGCCAACAGTTTCGCAATTACAACTGCAGCATGTAAAGGTTACTACACAAAAAATCACCAGTGAAGCAGTGTTCTTAAGCTTTGCCCAAAACAATGGCAAATAGGGTTGAGATAAAATGAAGATAGCATACGAGATGCTCCTTGGTTCTGATCACTACCAAATTTGATGTAAAAGCTGAAAGGTTCAGATAAATATAAACTCAATTTGGTTAAATCTAGTTAAAAAGTTAACGTTTGCAGATTAGTTCTCTAACTTTGAATTAGTTTAAGCTGCTAACCTAAAATTTATTTCTGAAGAAAGCAAAGAGGAAAACTTTTATTTAAAAATAGTTCAGACTTCAGTGTCAAAATAGCCAAAAGACAAACTGATGGCTTGATATTCATACGGATAAGGCAATCCTTTTAGCTTAAATTTGCAAAGTCCTTATGGCATTTTATTGGTTTCTCTGATTTATTTTTGTTGCACTTTGAATTAAATGGAGAGATCTAGCCCATATTTAACAATATATCATGTTATCACTCAATTTCAAGAATTAACCTGTATAGGTTTATAATTGGCTTGGTTGTAATAATTGGTGAGATCATGTCTTGAGTTTATTTTCCAAAAGATCAAGTAATTAGCAATTCATACCATCCTAATACAAGATATAGTAATTTCACTGAAGGTGTGATACGCTGACTGCTGTTCGTAACAGACCGTGCTCAAGGAAATATACCGTGCAAGACGGAGAGGAGTAGATAAGATGATTCTTTTTTCTTTGGAGGCCTTCTACAATCCAGGAATAGATTGTTGGACATCCACCTCTACTTAGAAATGGCTTACCCAGCTCTACTAGGAAAACTTTATAACTTTTGAAGGTTTATGATTTTGACCTCTATCGATAGAGAACAAAATGGTTTGTAAGAATTTTTTAAGGGAGGTCCAAGAACACCTTTGAGCTTCAAAGATAGAGAAAAACCCTCAGATGACAACAAGAGAAGTAGGAAAAGCCGGAATAGAAGATCAAGCTACACTGACAGCACCCAAGTTCTTCTTCAATTGTAATTAGCATGATAATATCTTTTGCGCTACTATTTGGTTTGTTACTGCTGGAATGGAGTAACTATTTGATATTTATGTTAAGGTAGAGCCTAGAGGATTTGAAACACATGACTAGAGTTTGCTTTATTGATCTCAATGCTTTTTGGTTGTTTGATTTTGAGTTTAACATAGTGATTTGTTGAAAAGAAAAACTAAGTTAGACAAATTCTTTAACGATTAAACTGAAATGATACGAACATTGAAGCCAATAAGGAAAACCTAAATTGAATAAGCTATTGGAAAAGGGTCTTTAGAAGCATTCTGTGGTTAGCTTAAATCTTCTTCTGGAACGAGATCTAACCAACAAGAAATCATGCACTAATATTCCAGACACACTTTTTTGGAAATCTATTTGAGCTATAGGCTATAGCAGTGCAGCAGACCAAATCATTCAGTGTCAGTTAGTTCCTCAAGTTAACTATATTGTTTATGGACCAATATACACTTTTAAATCATATGACAGCTAAAAATAGCAATTCAACAAATCAAAATCAAAACAATTACTAAAATTTCTGCAAGGAAGTATAACAATTACCAAGGAGTCAAGATGCTTATCAACAGAAGAAACTTCTTCCCGAATCGCATGTAGTGCATCAGCAGCAGAAATGAAGGCACGGTAGTTTCCAACGGCAACCTCTTGCATCTGCCTCCGAATTCTTTCTGCATCCACTCTCAGAAGCTCCGGTTCCTGCACAAATACAATCATATATAAAAACCATCCAAATCAAAACAACTACATTTCAATCTTGCGTAGGTAACAATTTAACGTTACTTTGTGAAGACGATCGAGAGTGAAAGAAAGGAGTTCGGAGATGTAAGGCTGTTGTGAAGCCGACGCCAGTGGGAGAAGTCCGGTGACCGGTGAAGCTTCGTCCATCGGATCTTCGGAATCCATCGACATTGCTGAGACGAAGCCGAGAACGTATGAGATCTGGAATTTCAGGGAGGATCTACTGTTAAGTCGCGGGTTCCGGAGAATTATGACTTGAGAAAAAATAAGAATAGGTGTAAAAATGAAATTTTGCCAGATTTTACGAAGTTATTTGTTCAGTGCAAAACTTTTTGTCCCTGAATGCAATTAAAGATACTATTCGGAATTAAATTTCCCCTTACGGGGAATTTGCCACTTAGTCCCTCTAATACTAGGAAAAAAAAATTTGGATTCTTATAATATCTAGTTAAGCATATTTAATCTTAGATCAATTGAAATTGAGTGTATTTGATCCCTCAAGTTGGAAAATTCTCAAATTTGATGAATTATTTAGCATTACATTATTTAGTTATTTGTGTGTTATGTTGAGTTTGTATTATTGCTCCATATTTGAATGTAATATAATTTTAAAATATTCAAAATGTAGCATGTTTTTATGAAGGAACTAAATAAACATTTTAATCAATAGAGGGTTAAATGTACACGTGTCTTCTTATTTGTTTGAACTTAATGATGATCTTGATTTTAATTATGTAGATTTTGATCATTAAATATATGTGTTTTTAACTTAATCTAAATTAATATCTATATTTTTTTTAATTTTGGAGGTGTACAATTAGATACTTCAACTATTACAAAATTGAATAAGTAGACACATACATCATATATGGAAAATCGTGTAAGATTAGCCATGCAGGACATATGTATCTACATATTCAATTTTAAGATAATTTAAGTGTCAATTTATGTCATTCAAAGTTGAACGACATGAATGTCAGTTGAGACCAAATTAAAAGACATGTATATATATTATGCCTTCGTTTACAAGTATTCAAATAGATTTGAATGATTAAGATATATAACAAATTATTAAAGTCGTTAAAACATTATCCACTCTAATATCTTTGCAATACGACATTTCAACACTACTCTATTCAATTACACTGTCGCCAAGGGTGGACCCATGTTGAGCGAAGGAGTATCTAGCGACACTCATTCTTCGAATTTTTTTACTAAGTGTCCTTATTTGACAAAAAGTTATCTATCTATTAGCATGTTGGTTTGCTAGCTGATTTTGTTGTCTGAAGTTGGGCATTCAAACCCCAACCAAAACATATTTTCTGTAAGGGGTTAAAATTGTGGTTAAGTAAAATTAAACACAAAACCTCTTCCAAATGGTGGTTAAGTAAATTTAAATTCAAGACCTCTTCCAATGGTGGTTAAGTAAATTTTACCTAAATATTTTTAAAGTGTTTAAATATAAATTTAAATTAAATTTACTTAAAATAAGTCAATGGAAAGAAGTAATGAGTGAGAGATATAACCAACTCATGCATATGATGGTTACACTTATTATATCTTATCTGCACAGCTTCCTAAAAATTCGGCTTAAGCCATTGTCGACAGTCGACACCGATTGCTGCTTTGCAGTTTGCGAAATAGAATTACATTTCAGTATTGTTTTTGAATAACATCTGGGAATGGACCGTAAGAATATTGGAGAAGGAAAGGTAGTATGTGTAACAGGGGCATCTGGTTTCATAGCTTCATGGCTGGTCAAGTTGTTGCTACAACGTGGATACACTGTCAACGCCACTGTTCGCAATCTCAGTCAGTTCTCTTTCTCTCCTTATTTCTGTTTTTTTTTTTGGATTTCATTTAGACTAAAATTTGACTTTGGATCCTTTACAACCTTGTTTATTCTATTTGATCTCTGGATTGATTTAAGTTTCTTGTGTAGACTGTAGTCATGCTATCCCTATACTCGATATGTATTTGTGGGAGCTCTAATTGCAAACAGGGAATCAATTTGTTATTATACATAGATAGTAGAACTAGAAAACGAATGCCCAATGGGATTGTAGTTATTATACATAGATACAGCAGCTCTGAGCCTAAATTTCGTAGTGGATCATGAGTAAAACCTTATATTTCAACTATATAAAGTGTTAAAAGCCTACAAACTATGGTTTCACCACATAAATTTCCTGCTAATTCGCCTTTCTTAGCTTATCAATCACATATAGCTACATGAAATAGGGTCTATACATCCATTATGCCATTAAAAGTTTTGCCATAGTAAAGTCAGTGAGCTAGTAAGTTATTGATTTGACGACAATAATGTGAAATTAGCTCTCACAAATGTTAACTACATTCAATTCTTGTTTTAGTCAAACCGGAATGGTGGTTTCACAAACATTTGATATTCAATTAGTTGTGGATCATGGACTTAGCTGTTACTCTTAATCCTTCCTCTTTCGTATATATAAGAGTGTTCCCAACTTATTAAATGTTAATTATAAGCACGCAGAGGATACAAGTAAAGTGGATCACTTGCTAGGCCTTGATGGAGCTAATGAGAGGCTGCATCTATACGAAGCAGAGTTACTTAAAGAGCAATCGTTTGATCCTGCCGTTGATGGTTGTGAAGGTGTCTTTCATACAGCTTCACCTGTTTTTCTCACAGGGAAATCTAAGGTCAGAAATTTATTGTGACATCAAAATATGTCAAGAGATGTCTTTAAGGAGGAAAATGTTTGTTTGCTGTTAAATAGATCTTGATGCTTTAGTTTCTCTTTCAGGAGGAACTTGTGGATCCTGCTGTGAAAGGAACGTTAAATGTCCTTCGGTCATGTGCCAAATCACCATCTGTCAGAAGAGTGGTGATAACTTCTTCTACTGCTTCTGTTATATGCAATAAAAATATGTCAACCCCTGGAGCTGTGGCTGATGAAACTTGGTATTCAGATCAAGAATTCTGCGAGGAAAGAAAGGTTATATGTGTCTATAAATTGGTAGTTCTTTTCAACTTGATGAGGCTTATCCTTTTATTATTGTAACAAGAGGTTTGAAAAATGTATCTTTCTAGGAGTTGCATTGGAAGTTGATTTGTTTTCTTGTGCTCTTTCTTTATTTGATCTTTTCCACATCTTTTTTATTATGGGATGAAGTCCAAACTTACACATAGACTATAGGAATATCTTGTTTTTCGATAACATCAAATATTTAGAAACAAATTCAGTTTGCTAATGACAAAAATAACATGGACTGGAGATAGTATTATATACTTCATTTGGTAAATGAATTTGAGAAAGAAATGAAAGATTTCAGCACTCTCTTCACAATTGGCTTGCTGAAGGTGTTCTGTTTGCAGGAATGGTATCAACTCTCCAAAACCCTGGCTGAGCAGGCTGCTTGGAAATTTGCAAAAGAGAATGCGATTGACTTGGTAACACTCCATCCAGGTCTAGTCATTGGTCCACTTCTGCAGCCTACACTCAATTTCTCTTGCGAGGCTATAGTGAACTTCATACAAGAAGGTAAGTTTGTTCAGTGACATAAGACACCTTGAGATATTCTTACCTCCTTCTCTAATTAGCTTATATAACATCCTTGATGAAATATTTATCTATAGAATACATAATAGGAACATGTGTTCTCTTGTCTGTGTTTGGCTAGCTGGAAATGATCTTGGAATTTTATGATCATTTAACTGGAAACTTCTTTTACGATCGTTCATTTTCTAGTAATGTTTTCTCAATTCAGAATCACAGACCTCTGCTTCTGATGATCTTTTTGAATGATTTTCTTTTCTAAAGCTTTATAGATTATAATAAGAAGAACCGTTATATACAGAAGTAACCATTTATTGAATTTGGTCTAGCTATATTACAAGCTTCTGTTTTTAGGATCTTAATCTAATTATATAGTAGACAACCTACTTTATTAAGATTTTCTAAAAGCCTACTTTCTATTCGTTACCCTGCCACTGATGAACATTTTATGAGAACAATCTTTTAGCATTTTTTGTTTTATCTACACACAAAATTAACTCTGACCAAATATCAGATATTTGCGGATGAAATGGTAGGTTTGGTAAATGCTGCTAGCGTCCCTTCTTAACCTTCTAGGGCAGTCTATAACCTACTGCCCAACCTTCTTAAGAATTCAAACCAGCCAATATACTTCAAGCTCAACTCGCCCTCTTTAACAAAACTCATCACACCCTTCATGAATGAAACTTTTAGGAGAAACAATTCACCTTCCTTGTCTTGGAAAATATAAGTCGGGAAAGGGATGGTCAAGCTGAGGCAATATTTTAAGTGAGTTGGTGCAGAACTCCCATGGTGTGGACTTGGTGTAAATATATTTTGTCTCTAATCTGGTTTTGAAGTATGCATAAGGCATACATGGAACTTCATCTTAACTCCTCTGATACAGTTCACTCAAAATTAGGGGTAGTTTTTAGATAGAGTCTTTACCATTAGGATAACATTTTGGAAAAGCTCTTTGGTCGTAAATAAGTGTACCAAAAGTCCAAAACAAACATGTTCTCTCAAGAAGTTTCAAATACTTTCTTGAAAAACTTAAGCAAACAAGTTGCCTCAAGAAGCTTTGCTAAAGCTCGCAAAGCTTTTAGAAGTTGTCTGGCCAAACGAATTATGCATTTTTCTTTTTTTGGATTTTCTCCTTGTTTGGAGGTCAAATCAAGCTTTTGATGATAAATAGTACTGAAGCTTGACACATTGTCTTTATTTGATGAAGGAAAAGAGTCATGGTCTGGTGGAATATATAGATATGTTGATGTTAGGGATGTTGCTAATGCACATATTCTAGCCTTTGAGGTTCCTTCAGCAAATGGAAGATATTGTTTAGTTGGGGCAAACGGATACTCTTCTTTGGTTTTGAAGATTATTCAAAAGCTTTACCCTTCCATCACTCTCCCTGAGAAGTAAGTATTGCCAATATCACAGTTCTAATTTTCTTTATACTAGTTAGTTTATATTATTATCTTCGTTTCAGCAGAGAAAAAAATCATCAATTGCATCCTTCTTCTAGGACAACTAATGTGTAGAGTTGAATCTTGCTAACACTTAACAAATGTAAAATAGGAGAAACAAAGGCAGAAGAGATGTAACACGTTCACAGTTACTGAGTAATTAAAATTTTTGCAAGTATTGACGTAGTGAAAGTTTCAATTTTAGGAAATGCAGCACAATTTTGAAACAAACGATCGAAAAGGAAGTAGGATAGTCAATTTTGACATAAGTAGTCAATTTTGCTTTTCCATGTCACATGATTTCTTTTATGAATTCAGAGGTGTTGAAGTGGACTATTTTTTGACACTGCAGGCTTTATAGTTGAACATGTCTTGCTTCCTTAAGCTCACTTATCTTTCTCTTTAATTAAGAATTTTTGTTCTAAGCAATTTGAGGGATTCATCATAATTCTTAAATTTGGATGCAGTTTCAAAGATGGATTGCCTCTTACCCCACACTTCCAAGTATCGAGTGAAAAAGCAAAAAGTTTAGGAATCAAATTCACATGTCTTGAGTTGAGCGTGAAGGATACTGTTGAAAGCTTGATGGAAAAGAACTTCCTCCACATTTAAACAACATTCAGTTGGTGGAAATGGAATACACTGGGCCTAAGCTACAGTCTGCCTGCGCGCCTACACCCTGCATTTGTGGGTGAAAAATACACTTAATAATTTATACACAGATAATGTAATCCTTTTTTCTAAATAAGTAACAAACACTGAATACATAGATAATGTAATTCATTACAGGTTGGTTTTGTACTAGTAAAAGTTAACTATTTTCAGGTCTTGATTGACCCTTTATTTTCCAGCTATTTTTCTTAGGATTCAACCCTTGTTTTGTGTGTGAAAAGGTAATTAACTATTAATTGTTCTTGTGATCAAATAGATGTGTCACATCACTTGTATATGACCAAATGGTGATGTCTAAGTTGAGACAGCATTTCGTCTTCATTCTTGAACTCGGGAAGACCTTGATGTGATTGATGAAATCCTCTCTTCACTGCCACCTTTGTGTTATCCTTCAAAACTACCTTATAAACCCAAGAGTTGTTACATCCAATTACTAAGCACATCAGTGAAGGGCTAATGAAAGCAACAGGGGCTTTTTGATTGACATCTACAGAAAAGTGGGCAGAAGAATGTAATTGCTACTATTGATCAAAAATAGTAACAAAATTGATATTAAAATTGAGTTGGGCTCGTCTTGTCAACATATCTTAGTTGATAAGAGATGTCAGGAATATATACTAAATAAAAGAGAGATGTATATTAGTAAATTATTATTTGCTCCATGAGTGGCCACAGAGAACAATATCAACCAACATGGCCATGGCCACCACCCTTTGTTGTGGTCTTTTATTTTATTCCTTCCTACCCACCCCAGGCGTTGTCGCACAAAAAGAGAAAAGAGAACTGAAGTCTCTTATGGTAGTCAAATTAGAATTACTTTGTCTGTATTGTTTTTGAATAACTCGGATTACCAATGGAAAGCAAGAATAGTGGAGAAGGAAAGGCAATATGTGTAACAGGGGCATCTGGTTTCATAGCTTCATGGCTAGTCAAGTTGTTGTTACACCGTGGCTACATCGTCAACGCCACTGTTCGCAATCTCAGTCAGTTCTTTTTCTCTCCTTCATCTTTAAAATATTATATTAAAGTCACTGCTCTTGTATGTTATTAATTTGATAACAATTATGTGAAATTAGCTCTCACAAATGATAAGTACATTCTATTCTTGTTTAAGTTAAACTGAAATGGCGGTTTCACATACATTTGATATTCATAACAGAACAGAAATTCTGCAATAATTTTATGTGATCATGTGCTTAGCTGTTTCTATTTATCCTTCGTATGTATAAGAGTGTTTCTAAAATGTTAGTTAAGCACGCAGAGGATACAAGTAAAGTGGATCACTTGATGGAGCTAATGAGAGGCTGCATCTATTCGAAGCAGAGTTACTTGAAGAGCAATCATTTGATCCTGCTGTTGATGGTTGTGAAGGTGTCTTTCATACAGCTTCACCTGTTTTTCTCACAGGAAAATCTAAGGTCGGAAACTTACTGTGACATCAAAATATGCCAAGAGATGTCTTTAAGGAGGAAAATGTTTGTTAGCTGTTAAGTAGATCTTGGTGCTTTAGTTTCATACTAATAAATATTCTTTTCCAGGAGGAACTTGTGGATCCTGCTGTGAAAGGAACGTTAAATGTCCTTCGTCATGTGCCAAATCACCCTCTGTCAGAAGAGTGGTGATAACTTCTTCTACTGCTTCTATTATATGCAATAAAAATATGTCAACCCCTGGAGTTGTGGCTGATGAGACTTTGTATTCAGATCCTGAATTCTGCGAGCAAAGAAAGGTTCTATGCGTCTATAATTTGGTAGTTCTTTTCAATTTGATGAGGCGTATCCTTCCATTATTTTAGCAAGAGGTTTGGAAAATGTATGATCGTCTTTCTTGGAGTTAAATACTATTGTCCATATGTGTGTGCTATCTGGAGTTAATCTGTGTTATGCTGCTCAAGTAAGATATGTTTCTTAGACCAGAAAGAATTAATCAATTCTGCATTCCCTGTGTCCTTGTATTTGTTAGTGTAGTCAGTTAATTATTACATTCAATCTATGTTATTTGTCTTTTAAGGTTTTTGCATACACATTAAAAGATACATATAATAACCTTAATCATAAGAGTATATGTCTAAAGTATCCTCTTTTCCTGTGTTAAACATCTCAAGTAATTATTAACACTACACTAATTGAAACAGTTAAGGTGATTTTGAAAATAAAAAATAGTAAGTGCTTCTTTGTTTGCAGGACTGGTATCGACTCTCCAAAACCCTGGCTGAGCAGGCTGCTTGGAAATTTGCAAAGGAGAATGGGATTGACTTGGTAACACTCCATCCAGGTCTAGTCATTGGTCCACTTCTGCAGCCTACGCTCAATTTCTCTTGCGAGGCTATAGTGAACGTCACAAAAGAAGGTAAGTTTGTGCAGTGACATAAGATACCTTGAGATATTCTTACCTCCTTCTCCCCCAACCCCGCCCCACCAATTCCTTCTTCTCTAATTTGCTTATACAACACCCTTGATGAAAATATTTATGTATAGAATACATATTAGGAACATGTGTTCTCTTGTCTGTGTTTGACTAGCTTGAAATGATCATTTAACTGGAAACTTCTTTTGCGATCGTACATTTTCTGGTTGCATTTCCTCGATTCAGAAGCACAGACCTCTGCTTCTGATGATCTTTTCGAACAATTTTCCTTTCCAAAGCCTTAAAGATTATAATAAGAAGAACCATTATATACAGAAGTAAGAATTTCTAAAAACCTACTTACTTTCTATTTGTTACCCTGCCACTGATGAACATTTTATGGGAACAATCTTTTTATCACTTTTTGTTTTATCTCACACAAAATGAACTCTGAACAAAAAACAGATATTTACGAATGAAATGGTGAGTTTGTTAAATGCTGCTAAAGTCCCTTCTTATACTTCTAAGGCAGTCTATAGCCTACCGCCCCAACCTTCTTAAGAATTCAAACAGGCCAAATATACTTCAAGTTCAACTTGCCCTCTTTAACAAAACTCATCACACCCTTCATGGATGAAACTTTAAGGAAAATATTAGTCGGTAAAGGGATGGTCAAGCTGAGGCAATATTTTAAGTGAGTTGGTGCAGAACTCCAATGATGTGTAAATATTTTTTGGTCTCCCCTCTAATTTGAAGCATGCATAAGGCATACATGGAACTTAATCTTAACTCCTCTGATACAGGTCACTCAAAATTAGGGGGGTAATTGTTACATAGAGTCTTTACCAACATTTTGGAAAAGCTCTTTGGTCGAGAAAAGTGTACCGAAAGTCCAAAACAAACATGTTCTCTCAAGAAGTTTCAAATACTTTCTTGGAAGATTTGGTAAAGCTCGCAAAGCTTTTAGAAGTTTTGTCTGGCCAAACGAATTAAATATATATTTGGTGGTGAAATAGTATGAAGATTGGCCAGCTCAATTGATATGTAGATCACTCATTTTATTTAATTACTATACAAAGGTCCTTATGCATTTTTCTTTATTTGGATTTTCTCCTTGTTGGGCTTCAAATCAAGCTTTTGATAATAAATTATACTGAAGTTTGCACGTTGTCTTTATTTGATGAAGGAAAAGAATCATCGTCTGGTGGTGGGATATATAGATTAGTTGATGTTAGAGATGTTGCTAATGCACATATTCTAGCCTTTGAGGTTCCTTCAGCAAATGGAAGGTATTGTTTAGTTGGGGCAAACGGATACTCTTCTTCGCTTTTGAAGATTCTACAAAAGCTTTACCCTTCCATCCAAGGGTGGACCTACAGTGGGTTCATATGAACCCACTTCATTGAAAAATAACACTGTATATATATGTATATTTAATCAGTTTTATATGTATATATTTACTTTTGACCCACTAACACAAGTGTGACCCTTGACAGAGTGGTGAAGAGGGTTCAAATTCACAAGTCTTGAGTGTGAAGGATACTATTGAAAGCTTGATGGAAAAGAACTTTCTCCACATTTAAACAGCATTCAGTTGGTGGAAATGGAATACACTGGGCCTGAGCTACAGTTGTGCTGCCTACATTTGTGGGCGAAAAATCCACTTTATATGTATAACTAATGTATACATAGATAATGTAATCTTTTTTTCTAAATAAGTAACAATCACTGAATACAGGTTAGTTTTGTACAAGTAAAAGTTAACCATTTTCAGATCTTGATTCTAGGATTCAACCCTTGTTTTGTGTGTGACAAGGTAATTAACTACGTATTAATTGTTCTTTATGATCAAATAGATGTGTCACATCACTTTGTCTATGACCAAATGGTGATGTCTAAGTAGGTGTTTGGCCATGCGATACCATATCACGATATGATATCGTGAGATGGAATCAACGTTTGGACATGCAATTTTATGCTGATTCCATCTCATGATTCCATATCATGAGATGTGATATCATATTCTCCAAAAACCATGATATGGAATTACATGGTGATTCCATATCATGATTTGAGATATTTTAATACAATAATTGATCCATTAGTTTATATTTTGTTAAAACAACCCCACATTTATATCTACTAACCATTTGTTTCATATGTAAATAAAATTTATAATCACATCATTACTTTTTAAAATTTATTATTCTCACCGACATAAAATTTATTTTTCTCACCAAGATATAGTCACTTTAACTCACACCTCACGATTGTGAAACTTTTCAACATTCACTTGAAACAATTAACCGGCATGTTAAAATAGTTGCCGAGGCAATTAGTAAGATCGCACCAACATTTATACAACCAAAAAATATGACTGGTGTACATTCCAAAATTCGACATAATACTCGACTTTGGCCTTGGTTTAAGGTACAATTTCAATCACATTAATAAATTTATTTTATGGCCTTAATAAGTGCACATTTATATTTTATGTGTAAGTTATTAGTATTTAGTTACATATTTCCGCCACATGGTAACTTTAAATTACATCCTTAGAATAAATATTATTTATTTACACAAAACTGTCTCATTTACGTCACATATGCTTTTAGTAATTCTTTATATAATGTTTTTTGGTAGATAAATATTATGTTGTTGATGCTGGTTTCCGAAACACAAAAGGATTTTTAGTTCCATACAAAGGACTACGCTATCATTTGCAAGATTATCGAGGAAGTGAAAGAGAGCCTCAAAATGTCAAAGAACTATTTAATTATAGGCATTCATCTCTGCGCAATGTGATTGAACGGACTTTTGGAGCTTGGAAAAATAG